TCTGTCTTTCTGTCTTTCTGTCTTTCTGTCTTTCTGTCTTTCTGTCTCTCTTTCTGTGCCATGACAGGCTAACTGTAAATTGCCTACAACGGAGTTTTCTGGAAAAAAAAGAAAAGGCGAGGGAAACAAGGGAAGCTGGTAGACAGCTGAAGCTGACATCTCTGGGTGTTTGATTATATGTTAATGCCTTTGGAAGAAAGAAGAGAGTCCAGAGATATGGGTAGATTTGGAACAGAAGGTTTATAACGCTGCTGAAGGAGATGCACCACAAGGCATTACTATTGTGGTCTGTTCGCAACCATGTGAAGTTCTGCAGCCAGGGTTAGCCTTCCTACATGTTGGGTTCTTCCCAAGAAACATGGATGATGTAATTTATTGCTTGAGTTTAGTGTTATGCCCCTGTTGGAGTCTCACTCCGAGGGAGAGGAGGAACAGCCAACAGGGAGTGGAAGTGTGGCTCTGGAGGTTGTGGAGGAAGTTGGGGAAGGACACAGGCAAGCTAGGTAGTCAGAGAAAGACCCAGGCCCATCCCCTCTCCATCCTAGGGCACACAGGGAGGAGAGGATAAGGGAGAAATATGAATGGTGTGGTCTACGTGGAGGAAAGGGCCTTGATCCTCTTCATGGGCTGCAGCTGTGAGGACTGTTTAAAAGGACGGACTGCGTATGGGCCAGTGCTGGAAACAAAGAGTGAGAATATTTCTAGTTTGTCCGTTTTTATTTGAGTTTGTCATCCTTCCCAGTGTGTATTCCGATATCTGTGGGTGTCTTCAAGCCCTTATCTGGTCTCCTTCATTGCTTCAGTGTGGTTTCTGTTGTTTTTTCTACTGATGATTTATAGGTATTTGTAGTTTAAATGGCATTTCCTCCTTTTTGCAACTGTTTGTGGGAGAGGGTTTTTTTTGTCTCCAGTCAAAGATATTTGGAGCTTTGAAGCCAAGCTGAAGGAATTAAAGGGGCTTCACCTGTTTTTGTGACTGTTGATTTTGTATCCCACCCTGGGTCATCGCAATTTAGTATATGTGAAGATCCAAGCAAGTGTGGCTTTTTTGCAGTTTGACAGATGGAAATTTTTGTCAATGTGCAGATTTGCAAAGGGTGGTGCCAGATTTCTTGGTGTGGAAAGCAGGATGCAGATAACTACAGTGACCAGTTGATGCCATAATCTTGCAATTTCAAATTTCACATCTTTTTTTTTATTTGTTTATTTTCTCTTTACATACAATATGTGCTTAATGAATAGCGTACAGTCTGCGTCAATTCGTTTACATAATAATACTCCTTCTTAATTTCTCCCCCTTTTTCTCCAACTATTGATAAAGCAAGTCCCAAGTTCGAAAACATTCTGTTTCTTCTTTTTCTTTTATCTTCAGTGTTAATCTGTCCATTTCTGCACAGTCCAATCTTTTTTTAATTATATCTTCTTCCATACTTGTTTCCTCACTTTCCCAATGTTGTGCAAATACAATTCTTGCTGCTGTTAAAACATGCAAAATCAAATACAACATTTCCTTTATCGTATTTTTCTGATATTATGCCTGACAAAAATATTTCTGGCTTAAAATCTAAATTTCACATCTTGATAGTTTGTGATGTTCTTCAACTCCTTGCCTACTATCTACTGCTATCTGCTATTCTACTATCTCCTGGTATCGCAACACCAATTCTCCGCCCTTCCTTTTTTTCCAACCACAGTTATACCTGGTGGGTTATATCTCAGTTATATCTCATGGTGTTGAGAGCCAAGACTTTACAGTAGAAGAAGAAGGAAATAGAATCTGGAAGGGACCTTTAAAGGTCTTCTAGTCCAGCTCCCTGCTCAAGCAGGAGAACCTCTACTATTTCAAATAAGTGACTGTCCAGTCTCTTCTTAAAAGCCTCCAGTGATGAAGCAACCACGATTTCTGGAGGCCAGCTGTTCCACTGGTTAATTGTCCTCACTGTTAGAAAGTTTCTCCTTAATTCCAGGTTCCTTCTCTCCAGCCATTGTTTCTTATCCTGCCCTCTGGTGCTTTGGAGAATAATATGACCCCCTCTTCTTTGTGGAGTTGAGTTCCATTCCAAAACTTTTAATTTTTTGTCACTCTGAATAATGCAAGCAATGGGTTTATATGTTTGTCACTACTGTGCAAATACTGCACAAACATTTCAAGAGAAGACTATTGATGTAGTGGCCTTTGACCACAAAAAAATTGAAAGGGTAGCTTTCTGGTGCCATTGCCAGCAAGCCCACACAATCTACTAGACCAAGACTAATCGATCAAGCAATGGGGCAATTAGCAAGAAGAAACTTTAGGGATGGATTCCTTCTGTAACTAATGGATGAGAAAATGTTGAGTAAGGACAAAATACGTTCTTTGCAAGGACTTCTTTCCTTGTATCTCACGGAGGACATTATTTTCTACATAATGGGGAAAAATTGGGAAATCCCCCCCCCCCAAAGCCTTTTACTCACTTTCTTAAGCAATATTAGACCCACAATGAAACTCTTTGGATGTTGCAAGTCAGTTACAAGCACTCCCCCAAAAATTGCCTAGGGCAAAAGTTGAAAAGGAAATATGATACATGGATGCATTTGGTGTGGTTTGGCAGGGTACATCTAGTTGGAACGCTTTTAGCCCTATTCATGCAAGGACTGAATCACAACATTCTTAATAAAAGAAAAATCCAAAGGATATCTCAAAAGCAAACAGCCCAATGCCATTCAAAATTAACTGAATGAAACTTGCTGATGGAGACAGCACGTCATTTTCTCTTCAAATCCCAATTATTGCTAAATTTAGTCAGGGAGAGGTTTGTTAGGCACTTGCAAGGAAAGAGGAATCTCCACAATCATTTTGTTTTCTCTCTCTTTCTCTCATTGAGGAAGTGATGGGAAGAGACCCTTCTTAGTACATGCTCTGCATCAATTCCAATGACCTCCCTAAACTTTCTTTGTATTCCATAGAAATTACTTTTCCTTAAACGTGTGACTAGTTTCCCACCCACCACCCACCACCCAATTACTTGTATAAAGATTATTTTCTATACTATTCATGTTGTCTTGTATTTCTGTTATGGATTGCACCAGTAGAGGCTAAACCAATTTTGTTGTATATACCATGTACAATGACAATAAAGGCTAGTATTCATTCGTATTAGTATTATGGTTAGTCTTTGGTGAGATTCACAGCCTTTGGGGCTGGTTGGTAACTCAACAGCTCGAGTACTAACCAAGGACCTAGGAACTGTTCAGGTAGCGTTGGAGGATATAAGCTGCTATTATTATTATTATTATTATTATTATTATTATTATTATTATTATTATTATTATTATTATTATTATTATTATTATCTGCCTGTAGTCCTGCTTAAAACAGATTTAAAGGAAAGACAGAAGAAACCCCACCACTAACGCACATAGTCAACTCTTCTAAGCAATAACAAATGTTTTAATAGAATAGGAAAAAATATTTCCAAGGCCAGGGGGAAGAGAAGCCAAATGACTCAAAAAGATGCAAGGAATAAACCCAGCATTTAAATCTTGGGACTAACAGAGAGGTACACAAACACACAACATGGTTCTGCTTTGAATGCAGAACTTGAAATCTGAGCTATGAAAGAGTGTCATCTAGCAGAACCCAAGAAAAATACCCACCTGGTTGCTATGCCTGCCCTTTGCGACACCATCCTAACCCAAATTAGATTGGCCAGACTCTACCAGCTATTCACAAGACCTTTAAGCCCTATCCCTTCTCCCAGGTTTGGGGCTCAAGAGGTCAGTCAAGCTGCTAAAGTATTATGTCAGGATTCCAGCGATCGCCCCTAATTAAATCATGAGCCTCAAGCCAAACTTCAAAAAAAGGATTTATTAGGAGCAACATGCTGGCATGACCTGTATGAAGGCAACTCTGAGATACGTAATTTACAATCACCTATGACCCTGTTTCCCCACCCCCCCACCCCTCTGGGTGTATCATAATTCAGATTGTCCAATGAAACACGTTCATGGGCTGGGTGTCATCAATCATGCTCTCCAATAGAGGATTTTCACACCCAGAATGCCTGGTTGCCTCAGCTACAATCTTTGTGAGATAAGCTTGGAATGTGTTTCTGAGTTCATTTGCTGTATGCCAGTGATCCCCAACCTTTCTTATGCCGCGGCCCGGTATCCCCAACCTTTTTTATGGCGCGGCCCGGTACCGGCATCAGCTGGGCGGCGCCATCTTTTTTTGATGAAAAAGTGCTTCCGGTGAGCTTTTCCGGGTAGAAAGCTCACCGGAAGCACTTTTTCATCAAAAAAAGATGGCGGCGCCCAGTAAACCAGCGGCCCGGTAGGACTTGTTCCACGGACCGGTACCGGTCCGCGGACCGGTGGTTGGGGACCCCTGCTGTATGCTCCTTCAGGGTCCACCCCTCTCTTTCTTATGCCAACTTGGAAACAGGTGTAGGAATGTTTTATAATTTGACATATTATTAATTCAGTGTGGATGGGTTAGCTTCATTTTTTTCCTCTTCTCCTTTCAGCTTGTGTTATTTATTGTTATACTGATGTTTTAATTCTCTCACCATCCAGAGTTGCTTTAGTGAGATGGATGGTAATATAAATAGCAATAGCACTTATATGTCTACGGAGATTCTTGGTCACCCAGGTCATGGTTGTCTCAAAGGTGCTTTTTCAAGAGGTGACTGGACTTTCTGCTTTTTCTCTGAAGACCTTTCGCTGAAAAGGAAGCTTCTTGGATGAGAAAAGAAATGTCTTCAAAGAAAAACCAGAAAGTCCAGTTGCCTCTTGAAAAAGCACCTTTGAGGCAATAGAGCTTATATACCATTTCACGGTGCTTTACAGCCCTATCTAAGCAGTTTACAGAGTCAGCATAAATATAAATAAAATGAATGATTTAATAAACTGCTTCCTATAATTCTTTCCGATACATTAATGTAGTCAACTTTCTTGGAAATAGTGATAGCACTGAGATTTATAGACTGCCCCATAAGTGCTTTACAGCATCTCTGAACAGTTTACAATGTTTTGCATATTGTCCCTAACAATCTGGGTTCTCATTTGACCGACGTTGGAAGGATGGAAGGCTGAGTCAACCTTGAGCCACTCAGGATCAAACTGCTGGCGGTTGGCAGAATTAGTTTGCAATACTGCATTCTAGCCACTGTGCCTATATGGAAGGAAGGAAGGAAGGAAGGAAGGAAGGAAGGAAGGAAGGAAGGAAGGAAGGAAGGAAGGAAGGAAGGAAGGAAGGAAGGAAGCAGAGGGAGGGAGGGAGGACTAGCAACAGCATTTAGACTTATATACTGCTTCACAGTGCTTTTACAGCCCTCTCTAAGTGGTTTACAGAGTCAGTATATTGCCCCCAACAATCTGGGTCCTCATTTTACCCACTTCAGAAGGATGGAAAGCTGAGTCAACCTTGAGCCTGGTGAGATTCAAACTGCAGGCAGCTGGCAGGCAGCAGAAGTAGCCTGCAGTACTGTACTCTGACCACTGCGCCACCGCAACTCAGAAGGATGGAAGGCTGAGCTAACCTTGAGCCGGTCAGGATCAAACTCCAGGCCGAATGCAGAGCATTCCATGCCGGTTTCATAGCTTTGACTTCTAGCTACGTCCACTGAAAAGCAAGCTGCATTAAATTCAGCAAGGCTAAAGTCAGCCCAGGCCAATAAGCAGGGAGTTGATTCTCTGTCTTCTATGAACCTCTTGGGATTTCAAGGGACACTGGAGGGAGCCGGCTTCCCTCGGCTCCTGACACATTGATTCTATTAAAGCCATGAAGCATTTGGGGAGCGTTTGATGACAGCGTTTGAGACTTCATCTGTCAAAGCCGTAATGCGGCACGACACACTTGGTGTTTCTAGAATCCGAGGAAGGGGGAGGAATGCAATGCATTTTTTTTCCTCCATGGATTTGTCGCATACCTGGAAAAATCCAGCCAGTCCTTTTTTTGCACATTTGAACTGTTCAACGAAGCGAATGTAAAAGTTGGAAATTAAAGCAAAGCTCATTTGCTAAATCGGCATGCCAAGATGCCTTTTTTCTTTTCTTTTCTTTTCTTTTCTTTTTAGCAAGAGTTAAGATTTCCTACTGGAATCATCCTTTTCTAGAACCTTCAAAAACATCTCGTATCAAAGAATTATGTAAGCCTAGTTTAATTAAAAGGACTGGTGTGATGGTATAGCAATGTTTCAATATTTGAGGGGCTGCCACAAAGAAGAGAGGGTTAAATTATTCTCCAAAGCACCTGAAGGCAGCACAAGAAGCAACAAATGGAAACTAATCAAGGAGAGAAGCAACCTAAAATAAGGAGAAATTTCCCGACAGTCAGAAAAATCAACCAGTGGAACAGCCTGCCTCCAGGAGTTGTGGGTGCTTCAATATTGGAAAATTTAAAGAAGAAATTGGACAGCCGTTTGTCTGAAATGGTATAGGGTTTCCTGTTTGAGCAGTGGGTTGGACTAGAAGACCTCCAAGGTCCCTTCCAGCTCCATTTTTCTGTTAATTCCAGTTCACATCTACTTATGCCAAAGGTAACGTTGAAGGAAATGCTGAGGTTTGACATTTGCTAAGGAAATACTTACCCTTAACTGACTGTGACCTGCTTAACGCTTACAGCTGAAACATTTAATATATTGGCTTCTGACTTTTTCTTTCTTTCATCCCAGTCCATTTTCTTTCTGCTTATCCAGAGATAATTAAAAGAAAGCTAAAACCACAGAAAAGGCTGGGTTAATCCAGGAAGGTATGAGCAACTTCCTGCCTTAAAATAAATATTTTTTTTTTAATAAGGTAACAAGACAGTTGAAAATTAGATTACAAATCTGGTGGATTAAGATTGCATTTTTTTGTCCTCTCCTTCTATTTTCAGGGGTGCCAACTGATAGCCCGACAGCTCTGGAAATCAAAATTCTCTTTTCCAAAACAGGTAGGCTAGCAGAGAGAAAAAAGCATGCTTCTTTCTGCCTTGAAAGACCGCTTTGATTCACAGTCCAATGGGTTCATCTAATAAGAACCCATTCCTATTGATTTATTTATGGGGTGCCAACTCACCCTGCCCCCAACCTTAGAGGAACATAAAACACTTCATACGATCAAGCAAAATGAATTATCCTGCTAGGATTTTTCCCCAGATTTTTTTTTGGTCCTATACAAAAGGAATATCTTATAATCTTTTGGTTTTAGTTCGCATTTAGGAAAATAAAATAGATTATTGCCTTGTTAGGTGCTGGAGTTGCTCTGGGAAGTGGGTAACCATAGAAATGAATTGATTGGTTGATTGATCAACTGACTGATGGACAGCCAGACAGAATGACAGATGGATGGATAGATGGACTAATGAACAAACAGAAGGACGGACGAATGGATGGATGGATGGATGGATGATGGGGCAATATAGTACTATCAAGTGGGTATAGCTGTGTGTCATATTATACACAGATTTTGGAAAGGGAAAAGGAATTTTGAAACATGTGAAGTTAAAGCAGACTTACTATCCCAAGTTTATTAACTCTAAAAATGCTAATATTTCCAAGATTAAAAAGCATCCGTTAATCAAACTTGAAAGAAGAAAAAAATGCACATTTTTCATCTTCTCTTGTAGAACATCCTTAATAAAATATTTTGACTTTTTTTTAAAAAAAAAAATCTCATCCTCTGCTCTCTGTAAAAACTGCGTTAGAGATCTGAAGTACAGTAGTTCTGGAAAGAAGGCAAAATCAGAGGAGCCCTTATGAAAACAGAATGAAATACGTGCAACTTCACATGAGTTCAGTCCAGTGGTTCTGGTTCGCACCGGTTCTCATGAACCGGTTGCGCCGGTGAGCAGTTGGCCCCGCCCACCCGGTCTCATCCTTTCCTGTGTTTTACTTCCACGCCTCAGCTGTTTTACTCACCAGCCCTGAATACATGGTCAGTTTTGAAGCTTAAAATCGATGGTTTGTGGACTCATACAACCGGTAGTAAAAAAAGGGGGGGGTGAATCCCACCATTGTTTCAGTCCCCCCGTGTGATTAACATGCCCTGTTTTCCAACACAAGAACAAAGAAATAGGAATCAGATGATCTGTACTTTTCTTCCCTCAAAGAATTCTCATCTTCTGGTCTGGTCTGTCAGGATTCCGGCAGTTACCCCCATTTAAATCATGAGTCTTGAGCTAAACTTCCAAAACTTTAAAATGATTTATTGGGAGTTAACATGTCTGGCACTGCCTGGGTATAGCCAACTCTGAGACACATCATTCCTTGTCACCCTTGACCCTGGTTTCCCCCCCACCCTCTAGGTGTGTCATAATTCATATTCCCCAATGGGACACATCCATAGCCAAGAGTCATTAATCATGCTCTCCAGTTAGAATTTTGTATGGCAGAAACTTCAGTCACCTAGTTACTATCTTTGAAAACATTCATGGAATGCACTTTCGGTTTGCAAGCTGCTGCACTGCTCCCCCCTCACTTTCTGTTGACAACTCTAAAAAGACCAGAGAAATATTTTATGAGTTGACACTTTGTTCTTCTCATCGATTGAGTTTGGCAGTTCTTATCAACAAGCAGAAAATCCCACCAATAATAGGGGCAGAGAGGTTGGTTATCAATTCAAGATGAAGACTCAGCGTGACTGATTTTTGAAGGTCAGTCACAGACGGTGGCAGAGATTGGAATAGAAGGCATTGAGAATTAAACCCACTTGGGCTACCCTGCTGGGGGTGACCCTCGCAAAACCTCCCTGACTCCCTTGAATTAATGCCACCAGCTCCAGAAACCTTTTCAAGATTGCCATGTTGGAATGCATGGTAGGTAGTTCTCAACGTACGACCCACACAATTGAGCCAAAAAATGTCTGTTGCTAAGTGAAACAGTTGTTAAGTGAGTTTTGTCCCATTTTACAACCTTTCTTACCTCCGTTGTTAAGTGGATTAAGCTGCAGTTGTTAAGTTAGTAACTCAGCTGTTAAGTGAATCTGGCTTCGCCGTTGGCTTTGCTTGACAGGAAGTCGCAAAAGGAGATCACATCAGGAGTGGGCCGCTACCGGTTCACACCGGTTTGGGTGAACTGGGTGTTGATTTTACATCTGGTTTACTGAACCGGTAGTTGCAACAACTGACTGCCCCGCCCTTCCTCTCCCAGGAGTCTCCACACAGCCTGTTTCGGAACCCAGGTAAGTGCAGGGCCTGTGTAGAGGCTCAAGGAGGGTGAAAAAAGGGCCAGCTGGAGGCTTCAGAAGGCCAGAAGTGGGCCTGTTTCTGGCCCCCAGAGAGCCTCTGGAGCCCAGGGAGGCCATTTTCACCCTCCCGGAGGCTCAAGGCAAGCCTCAGGAGCCTGGGTAGGGCAAAAAATGCCCCCCCCTGCTGTGGTGCAGGAGGCCAACTAGGCCACGCCCACCCAGCAACCAGGCAGAGAACCGGTTGCCCTAATTTTTTTGAAGCCCATCCCTGGATCACTTGACCCCGGAACACAGCAATGGTTATAAATATGAACCAGTTGCCAAGCATCTGATTTTTAATCACATGATCGTGGGATGCTACAAAGGCCGTATCTGGGGAAAAACTGTCGTAAGTCATTTTTTTTTCAGTGGCGTAGCTTTGAATGGGCGCTAAATGAACTGTTGTAAGTCAAGGACCTACCTGCATTGTTAAAGGCTACAGCTGTAAGCCTACTTCAGAGTTATGATAGGAATTTAGAACCAGCCATCTGCCACTCTCCCAGCTTCTCTTTCCATGCACGTCGAGCCTACTCGAAAAGAGCCTCTGGTTATATCCTTTATTGACGGAAAGAATAAACCTCTAATCCTGGGATGGAAATAATTTGATGAGCGAATATTGGCAGGAGGTGAAGTCCAGAACTGGAGATGACCTGATACAAAGAGAGCACCTCCATCCATGACAGACAGTCGGTGAATGCAACTGGCCTCCTTTAATTCAATGGTCACCAACTGGTGGTTCGTGGAACACTGGTGGACCACGAGAAAATTTTGGTGGTCCACAGAAAAAAAAATTTGAATGTTTTATATTGCCCTAAATCAGGGGTCCTCAAACTATGCCCCCCTGGGCTGGATATGTGCAATGAAATGTTGGGTTGCTGCAGAGTCTCCCCCTTCGGGGTCTTTTTGTGTGGGTTGGAGGGGGGCAGGAATTCCGACTTGGGGTCTGCTTCAGCCTCCTGGGGCAGGGCTTTGGGCGAAGGCTGGAGGGAAGGACCACTGGTGGCGAAGAGCCTGAGAGGGCCTCGTTCCAGTGGGACTGCATCGTGGCCTGGAACTGGCTGACCATCTCAGCCCGCTGACCCTCCAGGTGCTGATACCTGGCCTTGCACTCCCACAAATCTTCCCTCTGCTTGGAAAGCCTATGCTCGTAGTCCTCAGTGAGGTGCTTCTGCCGAGCCTCCTTCTTGGTCAGATCCCATTTGAACTCAGCCAGCTGTTTTACCAACTCTTTCTCGGGGTGGCTGCTTAGCTCCAACAACTGCTTCCTGTTGAGGCCCTAAGGAGCCGTGGTGGGATTCTACCAGTTTCCCTACTGGTTCAGTGATCACGTGAACGTAACACATGCACACACAGCTTTCCAATCACCAGCTGAGGTTCCGCAGCGCCATTCAGCCGAAAGGATAAAGAACAGAAAAGCTACGGGTGGGTGGGAGGGCCAATCCTGATCGTCGGAGCTTTTTAATTTTTTTACCACGGGTTCGGCTGAACCAGTAGCATTTTACCACTGCTATGGAGCTGGGCGGGCAGGCAAGGAGTGGCTGGGAGGGGAGGGGCGAGTAGAAGCCAACAAAGCGCCCCTTGATGTAAGTGACATCAAGTTGGCCACGCCCATCCAGCCGGATCATTAGGCAGATCCTATTAGCGGTCCGCGGGATTTAAAATAATGAATCGAGGGGTCCCTGAGGTCTGAAAGGTTGGTGACCTCTGCTTTAGTTCGTGACGTCAGTATTTTCGGCCCTGCTAGATGGCAGCACTGAGCAGTTTGGCTGATCTTTAAAACCTAAGGAGGTTGGGACTTGGTTCATATGAGGATGGGAGACCACCAAGTGGTGGGCTATAATGGGGAAGCTTTAAAAAAAAACAATATCGTAGGAGGAGGCAACCGTAAATCCTCTGTATTGCTACCAGGAAAACCACCTAGGGCATGCTTTGGTTCCTTCGCGTCCTTCCAAACGAAGGGAAACCACGCCTGCCCTTCATTTTTTGGCAACTGTGCCATCACAATTCAATCCGACTGCTCCAGGGGCTGCGTGGAAGAGCAGGCAGGGGAGGAGGGGGGGGTGTTGCAGGGAGGTTGAATTCGCTATCTCTTGTGAGTCATCTCTGCAGACAACACTTTTATCTTTGAAGGCCGTATTTCTCGCTTGGTTTTTTATTTTTTAAAGAAGAAGGGGGAAGCTTCGTTTCTTCTTTGCGGGCGAAATGAAGATGCTTCTCCATGTTTAATCTCTTTAACCGTTTTTGACAAAAGGAAAGCATATTTACTTCCCCCCACACACACACACACAACCAACCACCCAACCAGAAGGTTGGGCTGTCCAATGGCCAGAAGTAAGGAGCAGCTCGCTTGCATATGCCCAACCTTTCCCCCACAACCCCCCTTAATCCTGGTGGTTGGTAGGGAGGGACCTTTATTCCCCCCCCCACACACACACACACATACACACACAGCCATGTGATAAAACTTGCAGGCTGAAATTTCTCTCTCTGCTTCTCACCCACTTCTCTCCTCTCCTCTCTTCTTTCCAGACATGCCAAATTACTCTGGCAGTCCTAGATGTGTCTCTCGGCTGTGCTGCTGCTGCTGCTGCCTCCGCCTCTGATTCTCCCCTTCCAGATGTTGACAGGCTCCAAACTGAATCGGTGGCTCCAGAGGCACAACAGCTCTTCTCCCCTCTGCGTGGAATCTGAAGGGGGAATGCACGGCAGAAGGGCAAAGTTGCATATTTTCCCGGCAGCGCACGGAAGCAATTACCCAGAGCGCATTCCAGAGGTTTGAATTGTGAGCAGGTCCTGGTTGTCATTTTTTTTTTTTTACTGAGTGGGAAGAAGTGTGGAGGAAAGAAGAAGAAAAAAAGGGAGAGAAAAGGAAAGGAAGAAAGCTCTCTGTCTCACATACACACAGAGGCGGAATGTCTGTGCTTTCCATCCTCCTGCTAGGTAAGTTGGAGAATTTGGTTTTGTCCCTTAATTT